CGCACATTGTCTGCTCGTGTTCAACTTCTCAAGAAGAGAAATGGCACAAGAAATGTGAAAGCTAAGGGTTTCGATTCTTTAGTCCACCAAAATGATGTGTTTGATTAACACTCGTGCTGGCTACAAATGTTGCCTTTTAATGCAGGAGGTAATTAATTAGTTATTCTAGTTATAACCTCATTCTCTATATCCCTGCTGTGTGACTATTACAGTATCCTCAATACCAGAGCATAAAAAATAAATAAATTTTAAAAAACCCCCAGCCCCTCCATTGCAGAATGGTTCAAAGTCATGTATTTTTCAAAAGAATGATGGAGTTTTAAACTATTGCTTGTTCTAGAGCTGATCCAGAACAAGCAAGTCTCCAGGGATGGTTTATTCCCTAAGGCATGAATGCATGATTAAGCTAAATGTATTCCATAAATGCCTTCATGACATTAAACTAAATTTTTTAAAGAACAGATGGTGAAAGTTAATAAATATTTCATTTTATAACATAAAACTCACTTCTATATTCACAACTTCAGGGATCCTCAGCTTCACAGATATCAATAAGTCTGATGGATTTCTTGCTGTATTCTCATTCTTCTGCCCTGGTGTCTCTTATGGGATCATCATTTCTGCATGCTTGGATTGTTTTATGGGATCAGTGAAAGGCAAGCGACTGTAAATCTTGACCTCTTCTGCTCCTGGATTATATACTTTTATTCTTTGTGACCATAAGTGTTCATCTTTACACTGAATAGATAATTAAATGACAAAAATTATTCAAAAGGAATTTATAACCCAAGGAGATATCGTGAAGAAAACCAGTTTAGAATGGCCAAATAAAATACTGGAATATCTGTGTATTTGTAAATGTCATGAAACATCTGCTCACTAGGAAAAAAAAAACCCAAACATTATTTTTACCTGTATTTACCAATTCTATTCAAACAAAATTTCTACTAAGGGAAAACAGTGTGAATTTTGCTTAAGAACTCTAGACCAAGCTTGTTAGTCATATGAAAGAACTAACCTTTACACGTGGGAATTACATTTTTTTTCACTCTATATATGCTATGAATCTTGTAAAAGAATAATTAGAACTTGCTCCGAAAGGAATGAAATGCCAGATTTGAATAGTATTTTAGGAAGAGCATTAACAAACATTTTTATACTGCCAAGAACCTTCGCTGCTTTCTAGAAGAGATTTACGTCACATTATTAATTAACTATACCGAGTCGATAAGATGACATAAAGCTGGGGAGATATATGTTTAGCACAAACTATGACATTCGTGAGAAAAACATGCATTTTTTAAGGGAGGATGATTTAAAAATATATGCAAATGAGTTCAGTGAGCAAAGGCCCAACGAACTACTTCAAAGCATCAAGATCCAGCCTGATAAACATGACAAGATCAAATCTTTGTCATTTTTTCAAGTGTCTTTAGAAACCTCTGCACATACAGTATCATTTACTTCACCACCTGTACCTCGATAGTTTGATATAAAATTAACATGAATGCATCATGAATGACAGACTGAGAGAGTTGGGGCTGTTCAGCCTGGAGAAGAGAAGGCTCCAGGGAGATCTTATAGTGGCCTCCCAGTACCTGAAGGGGCTACAAGAAAGCTGGGGAAGGGCTTTTCATAAGGGCAGTTAATGACAAAACAAGGGGAAATGGGTTTAAGCTGAAAGAGGGGAGGTTTAGATGAGATATTAGGAAGAAGTTCTTCACTGTGAGGGTGGTCAGACACTGGAACAGGTTGCCCAAGGAAGTTGTAGAAGACCCCTCCCTGGAAGTGTTCTCGGCCAGGCTGGATGATGCTTTGAGCAACCTGGTCTAGTGGAAGGTGTCCCTGCTGCTGGCAGGGGGGTTGGAACTGGATGAGCTTTAAGGTCCCTTCCAATCCTAACCATTCTATGATTCTATGATTTCGCTAGTGGGACCACTGTAGTCTGTCAGACAACGTGCACCTGAACAATTGCAAGAAATTAAAAATACCTAAATGGTATATAATTTGCCTTTTTGGAGATGACTTTTACATCTGTAGAATACAAGGTCCCACAGTCTACCCTAATAAGCAAAATATAAAAGAATGGTGCTCTTGCTCCCACTCCCTTTCCCCCCCAACTCTGACCATCTTTCAGTTTTTGGGTTGAGAATCTCCAAAACACTGCATCCAGGGAAAATATTAAATTCAGAGTAATGTGCTGTTTTAAAGAAATACTAATTAATTCACGTTATGTTTCACACCACAAGAATTGGTTTATTCACTAATTGAAAGTTAGGTGAGGTCTAGGTACATTTGTATCTTCAGACTCAGGGCTTTTAATGAAAAAAAAAGAAATATAAATTCTCATGTTTCCCGACATCCCATTAAAACAGTTGTCCTTTGACGTCAATTAGAGCCAGATAACAAAAAAAATCATCTATAATTGCTTTTCAGAAACAGACATTACAGCGTACACCATCGCAGCCAGATTCGATTCCCTTTTACAAGAAACAAGGATGCTGGGAACGCTGTCAAACCCCAGCTCTGCTGAATATGGATGTGGGGCTCTGCTGCTTTTCCCAGCAAAGGCTCTTCCATGAGATGCAGAGAAAACTGATGCAAAAACCCATAGACACGTTTAAATTTCTCCAAAGTGTAAAAATGCTGAAGTTGGACATTCAACTGGGGGTGGTTTTGGATTGACAATGGTTGGATGCTCAATGTTCTATCTCTGCCTCCACATAAGAGTGTCGACATGCACCTACACCAACATTTATAGCTACAAAACCATCTACTCTGCAAAACTTGTGTACATTTCATTACAAGGAGCATCACCAATTTTCTCAAAGGCCATCTCCAAATTTCTCTTACTCCAAGGACTTCATGATGTCTCTGCCAACCAAGAAGAAGAGGAGTCCAGACAGTAAAACCAGGGGCACCCCCGCTGCGGCGAACATGAACGACCACCCGTAATAGACGTGCACGGGTACATCCTCCAGGCACTTCTCACTTCTCTCCAGAAGGATGTACTTCTGAAAATCAGCAGCAAACTCCTTCCATATCACAAAGAGAAATATGAGCAGGAGAAATAAGCCTCCTGTAAAGAGAGACAAAGACGAGTTACTCTCTTGCTTACAACCATAATATGAAACACAGAAATAGAATTGAGATAAGATAGCAACGGGTTTCCATTGATTCTTGCAGCTGCTTTACATCAAAGCGTAGCGTTGGAGAAGTATGATTCATGACATTGTTCTGCAGAGTCCCATTAAAACCAAGCCCACCCTCCATGAGAGAGACTGATGGCACAGTGACCAGCTCCTGTCCAGCTGTAGGCTTACCAACACCTCCTGCTCTCACCACCAGCACCTCAAGGACTCTGTTACAGCTGGATACGGCCACCGAGAAACCATCAGGAACACGCTGATGTTCATAGCAGGGATCTGCACAAGGCTAGCTCTGCTTTCCTGTCTTAAAGTTGGGTTGTTTTGCCTTTTTTATTTTTAATTAGTCTGAGATGAGTAAGAAGACAATATTAAGACTTGTATTTTCCTTTTTTTATCTACCCTTCCAAGCAATGTCACGTCCAATTTCCACCAGAAATGTAAAGATATGGGCTCAGTCCTGCTGATGGCAAGTGTTATCCAGCAGTGACCCTGCCACCCCCGGCACCAGCGCAAGCAGAACCCCTGCAGATGCCGAGAGGCAGCTCATGGTTGTTCCCCCTCATGTCTTGTGTTACCCTTCCTTGAAATGAGCTTTGTGATCGAGTATTAAAACACAAGGCAAAGAGTATGGATAATCCTATTTTGCAGAGAAATAATATGAGTGGCAAAGGCATGTAGCTGTGACATATTAATCTCAGATGGGCTACTAAATAACTGAATAATAATAATAATAATTAAAAAAAAATAAACAGCTTATACCATGAGGCTAGAAAGTTGGTTTATTGGCAAGTGAGACCTCCCCTGCCCTGCCCTGGAGCTGCGGCACTCCAGGCTGAGCAGTGAGTGCAAGGTCAGCATCTCGCTTGGAGAGGGTCTGCTCCCCTCGAGCCTCCCAATCCTTGCAGGATGCCCGTGACCCACATAGCAGATCTCCCGTGAGACCTCACAGTCTCCTATTTCCAGATGCGTACCCTTTGAAGGTCAGCGTTTGCAGGAAGAGCTCGGTCACATCTGAAAAGCACATGGTGAACAGGCACCTCCCAGACTTGGCACAGCCCCCGGCACCTCTGCGGGCTTTGGTGCCTGGGTAGGAACCTCCTTTCCCCATAATTCAAAGTGATGGTGGTAGGAGGTGGCAGGTCTAGCTCCCCCGTATGAAGGCGATGACAAAAACTAGAGTTTGTTGTTCATTTAGAGGTTGGGGTTTTTTTTAATATATTTTAAATATTTTTTAAAATATTTTAAATATTACTTACTGTGCCACATTAAAGAATATATACAGTGCATTTTAAAGTCAACGTATATTAAAACTAAATAGTGATGACAGATCTGAAAGCACTTCAGCAATATCTGATCTTGCTAATTCCTAGCTAGAAGCTTGCTGCTTTTAAATGGTGCCATATAACTTAGAGATATACACACATCCACACACATATATGAAAGAAATACATCACAGATTATATTTGTATAGTAGAAGGAAACAGTTCAAAATGAATTTAGTTGACAAGTTACCACACAGTTCTGCGGGTTTGTTGTGGCTTCTGCCGGATTTCAGTTCTCCCCTTGTGATTTTTAAATCAAAGGTAGCTTGTACTATATTTAATTATTCTTCCTGGCAGCTTATACGCTCCAAAATCCAGCTCCCAGGCTAAGCAAAGGAAGCAGGTAAAGCCTGACATTAATATATCTGTTTAGTGATGGTCGTTACTGGTCAGAGAAAACTGTGTATCTGTTTATTATAGATATAAGTACATCTGCTGCTACAAACCTCCACTTCACATGGTGTGATCAAAAATGAGACTTATGTGAAGGTATAGAGGGTTCAGAGTCCTCATTACATGTTAAAATCACAGAATTGTAGTGGTTGGAAAAGGTCTTTAAGATCATCAAGTCCAACCGTAAACCCAACACTACCAATTCCACCTCTAAACCATGTCCCCAAGCACCTAATCTACCAATCTTTTAAATTCCACCAGGGAAGGTGACTCCACCACCTCCCTGGGCAGCCTGTTCCCATGCTTAACTGCCCTTTGGGTGAAGAAGTTTTTCCTCAGATCCAATCTAAACCTCCCTGGGCACAACTTGAGGCCATTTCCTCTTGTCCTGTCCCTTGGTCCTTGGTTGAACAGACCCACCCCCACCTCTCTCCCACCCTCCTTGCAGGGACTTGGACAGAGCCAGAAGGTCTCCCCTCAGCCTCCTTTTCTCCAGGCTCAACACCCCCAGTTCCCTCAGCCACAAGGGAACTCAGCACACTTGTGCTCCAGACCCTTCCCCAGCTCCGTTGTCCTTCTCTGGACACGCTCCAGGTTATACAGAAGTTGAAGCCACCCATCCTAAGCTGTCACATCTGTTAAACTCCCTCCTATACCCTAAGACTGCAAGTTGAATCTTAATAATCAAAATTTGCTGTAATTATATGAATATATTTTACATCAGCTCACATGGTTATTTGAAGCCTTCCATGGAAAAGTCCTTATGTTTGCTGGAGAGTCAGGCTAGGAGTTAAATAGCAGCTGTTGTAACATTTGCATGTTCATTGAGATTTTGCTACCACTTGAAATTAAGTGCACAAATAAATATTTTACACTTAATGTGATAGTTGTGTGCTTAAAAATACCAATTATTCCACTATAAGAGAAGGATGGCATGTTGAAATAGTCACATGGCCTTTACAAAATACAATATATTGATAAGGAGGCAATTAAGTCTTTATCGCTGATGTAATTTAAAATTAAATTAATTAGATAGCAACTGAACCTTGAAAAGTGCTCTTTGAAAGATCAATTTCTATTTTATTAGCTTATAATACCTACCGTAAGAGACACAAATAAAATCAGAGCCCCGGCGGGACGATGGACACGAGTACTGAAGAGTACTTTTAAATTCTCCTATTTTCCTTTAAATAGCCAGGGTTTTGGCATTGAATTGTCCCAGGACAATTTAGATGGCCTAAGCTTCATTTATTGATGAAATCAGATTAAAAATCTACCAGTTCTTACTGAGGAGGGTGCAGGGAAGACCCGTGAGCGGGGGAAATGATCCCTCCCCTCAGCCCAGGAGAAGCGCCAGGTCTCCGTATGGAAGGATTTATTATTAAACAGGTACTGGAGGTGATGGCACAGCCACAGCTTCTAAATTAAGAACATTTTCACACTCTGGGAAAATGACAAGAAAATGTAAAGTAAGCAGACTTCTTCCCTGGAATAATTACAACTGAGTGGTGAGGAGTCCCTGGGATTTACACCATCTCCTCGGCGAGGAGAGAAAATCAAAAGGGCAGGTGCAGGCGAAGGACGGTGGAAGCACAGAAAGGGCAGCTCACTGAAAACTGCTCATCAAAAAAAAAGTGCTTACTGGGAACAAGCACAAGTATTCATGAAACTGCCTCCAGTTTGTCAGCCTTTGAGAGAGTCCAGCGCAGAGCCACCAAGATGATGAAGGGAGTGGAGCATCTCACTGATGAGGAAAGGCTGAGGGAGCTGGGGCTCTTTAGCTTGGAGAAGAGGAGACTGAGGGTCACTGTATCCTTGTGACACCTTTACAGCTGCTAATTGTAGGGACAGGTGAGTGAACTCGATCTTTAACTCTTCTTCTGTGGGAGCTACTCATTAATGTTTATAAATATGTAAAGGGTGAATGTCATGAGGATGGAGCCAGGCTCTTCTCAGTGACGCCCAATGGTAGGACAAGGGGCAATGGGTGTGAGCTGGAACACAGGAGGTTCTGCTTCAACTTGAGAAGAAACTTCTTTCCAGTGAGGGTGCCAGAGCCCTGGGACAGGCTGCCCAGGGAGGGTGTGGAGTCTCCTTCTCTGGAGACATTCAAGACCCGCCTGGACACCTTCCTGTGTGATCTCATTGAGGTTCCTGCTCTGGCAGGGGGATTGGACTGGATGATCTTTCGAGGTCCCTTCCAATCTCTGACATTCTGTGATTCTGTGATTCTGTGATTAGCAGACTCGTCATAATGAGACTATCGAGATGTTTCACTCTTTCACTCCCATGTTACCAAAGTGTTTGGAATTTTTGTTTCCAAATGGTGTTTTATTTTGGATTTTTCATCTATCAAACAGGTCTCACTTTACCATCTCCTTTTGGGGGCTTTTTGTCTCAGCCACAGTGGAAAGACATCTTCGTTTCCTACCAGCTCTAAGTGGCTTTTTATGTACAGAGACAGATTTCTTCCTGCCTTGGGCAGCCAAATGAAAAACTGAAAATAAACCTCTAGTTTTTCTGCCCAATAAATGATCCCAGTGTTGGCACACGCACCCAAGGTGCAGAACATGTGTTGGGTTTGGTTAAGGGTAAGTGAAGACCTTCTCAAACCAGACCATCCCCACACTCTTCTCGGCATCCTTGTGGTTTCTACCACTGAAAAATTAGCCAAGTGATCTCTTTCATTCTCTCCCTTTCCCTCTTTGTCTCTATTCATTAGGACAGTATGGAAAAAAACCTAACTGCCAAACTCCATCTCAGTGCTGATGAGGTCAACGGCATCTTCTGGGGAGCAGCTAATTGCAAGAAAATTGAAGTGGGGTATTAAATCTTTCTCCTTCGTACACTGTTAACTGCAGGACACCAAGCCCTGGTGCTCCATCTCCCCCTCCCAGGAGAGCTGCACCTTCCTTGTGAGTAAATTGGAGTAGGGTTTTTTTTCTTTCACTTTATATCCTTGTGACACCTTTACAGCTGCTAATTGTAGGGACAGGTGAGTGAACTTGATCTTTAACTCTTCTTCTGTGGAAGCTACTGAACTTTCGTGTAAGCTGCTAATTACAAGAAAAATGAACTTTGACTCATTCGCCTTTCTCACCAGTTGCCGCTGAAGGATGTTAATAACGAGGAAATGGAGGGGTGACCTTCAGCTGCCCTTCCATAACTGTCAGCCTTTCCTGCACATGGGGAGCCTGAGATTGCCAAAATGGAGATGCTTGATTTGGGAAGAGGAATCTGAGCACAAAATTCACCACTTCAACTCATAGGACTGGCAAAGTGGCCTTTTTTTTTTTAATGCAGTCGGCTCAGGCTGAAGAACAGGTTGGTCTAAGCACACGCCCTGCTCCTCTCACAGGACCATGACATGGCTCTGGAAGAGCAGGAGAGGCTTTGTGCTGCCTTTGCCACTGGAAATGGCCCATGGCCACAGTGATCCTACAACTGTAGGATGGTGCAAGCACACCAGTGCATGCCACACAAGTGGGGATGCTGGAGAGACAGCACTGGGACCACAGCAGCTGGAAGAAGTGTAGACTGTACATGGTTCATCATGTATCTGTGCTTTCCAGTGTAAGGAGATGATAACAAGCTCCTCTTCCATAGAATTGCCAAACTGGAGACTGGTTTGGGCTGGAAAGGACCTTAAAGCTCATCCAGTTCCAACCCCCCTGCCAGCAGCAGGGACACCTTCCACTAGACCATGTTGCTCAAAGCCTCATCCAGCCTGGCCTTCAACACTTCCAGGGAGGAGCAGCCACAGCTTCTCCGGGCAACTTGGGCCAGTGTCTCACCACCCTCACAGGGAAGAATTGCTTCCTAATATCTAATCTAAACCTACTCTCTTCCAGTTTAAAGTCAGTTTAAAAACAAGATATGAAGAGTAGAACCCTACCAGTCCATTGGCTTCAGAAGGATAATATGACCTCCATCAGCCAAAGAGTTTTAAACTCTCAGGTTACTTAACATTACCAAGGACAAGCATCCTTATTGCTTGCTTTGAAAACTCACCATAGGCTCATGCTTCGCCTGTCCACTCCCTCTGAAGCAGTTTCCCCACCCCTGAGCAATCCACCAGGTTGAGCTCAGGTCATTTTTCACTTAAGTCTCCAGCCCTGCATCTGGTTTGAATGAGTAGGACAGCACAGCAAGCTCAGTGATGGACATAGGTCTGGATGAAGTATACGCTCACTTCTAAGCTTGGTGGCTAAAATTCCCAAAGGAGCATGAAAACCAAGGAGCATGAGTAGAGAAAACAGAGGAGCACAAGTACAGAAAACCAAGGAGCACAAGCAAAGTTGTCTCAGCATTTCAAACAGTTCCCAGAAGCTGCACTGCAGCGTTCACCCAGCCCTCTCGGTGACATCGTAGTGATAATTAATCATATTGCCACCTGACTACTGAAACAAGGGGACAATTATTCACGAGGCAATAGCTGCCTCCCCCTTGCAAACGCTGAAGCTAAGTCTGAGGTGGCAAGTGTTGGAAGGAAAGCAGCATGCCAACTATCTGCTCACCCAGTTTGGGTGCTTTTGGGATCAGGCTGGCAAGGATAACTGCTCAGCTGGTGCAGTAGATGTGCAAAAGCAAGCAGGAGCAAATGTCAGATGGGCTCCAGCTGTATTTCCTGAGTTGCTCAGCAGAAGAAATCAAGGGGGATAGCTCCAGCCCTTTGAAAGGGCTCTCAGAAATGCCACCCACCAAGCACTACATTTGTTACGGTAGATGGCAGACGGTCAGATTTGTCCTCTTCAAAGTACAGTAAATAAAATGCATCTCAGAGAGGAAACCCAGAAGGATCTAACTGAGCAATAACAATCTTCACCCTAAGGCATTGAATTCCCCCAGGGATGGAGGGGCACACATAACTCTTTGAGATCATGTCAGGTTGGTTAACCATAAATGTGCTTGGGAGCATCTTTGCACCAATAATATCTTTTGAGCCTTTCGGTGGCAAATGTCACATCGTTGTGCAATGATTAACTGCAGCTCTGGTTTCATAGAATCATAGAATGATTTGGATTGGAAGGGACCTCAAAGATCATCCAGCTCCAACCCCACTGCCTTCAGCAGGGACACCTTCCACTAGACCAGGTTGCTCAAAGCCTCATCCAACCTGGCCTTCAACACTTCCAGGGAGGAGCAGCCACAACTTCCTTGGGCAACCTGTTCCAGTGTCTCACCACCCTCACAGTGAAGAACTTCTTCCTAATATCTCATCTAAACCTCCCCTCTTTCAGCTTAAACCCATTTCCCCTTGTTTTGTCATTAAATGCCCTTGTTTCATGACCGTGGCATGGGGTGCTACCATAAAGAGCAGAGGGAGGTTATAAACAGAATAAAGTCGCGTTATAGGATGCCCCAAGAGGCTAGGGCACCTTGCAGCCATGGTGCCCATCTCACCATCCAACTGCCAGACCACATTCCCACTCTACAAATTGCCAGTGCTTTCACACTTCTTCAAGGAGAGATCATTTTCTGCAAAGGAGGTTAATTAACACTGACCCGCAGGCCATGATTAGAAGACAAGAGGCGCTTTCTCCTGCGCGTCGTCTCTCCACATCCCGCTATCCGAAGGAAACGGACGGCTGGGGAGTTGAAGCTGCATTAAATCTATTGTTCCTACTGCTTAGCACAATTATGCAAAATAATTTGAGAAGGGATAGAGAGAAAATAACCACGGAGGGAGGGATGCATCCCAAATCCATCAGAAAGCCATGCCAAGCAGGATCCAGAGGTCTGAGTTCAAGTTCCCTCTCCCAAAAAAAAAAAAAAAGATCAGCTGAAACTCTAAGTAAAATTTGTTGAAAATGATGAAATAATTTTGCATTCTCCCAACTATCATTTAGTTTGAAAAGATAGCAAGAAGTCTTTTCTGGCTGAACTCGTTCCTCCTAATGACCGTTAATAACAATGTTTGCTGTTCAGATTGAAACTGCATCAATACAAACTTCGATTTAAACAGCAGCATCTTTGTCTAATGCCAAGAGGTTTATGTGATGCATAATCAGCTCTTCTAAAAAGTGTCAGACTCTATGCCCCAGCCTTTTAATCAAGAAGTAGTCAAATAAACTGCAAAAACAATGAAAAATTGGATTACGGTGATTCAATATTACTCAACATCATTTCCTGTGTGATATTTTATTTATCTGGCCAGTGTCAGAAGGTGACCGGTCTCAGTTTTTCTATTTAGGCTGAAAGTTGACTGTTTTGAAGAGGTGAGGCTTTAACTGAGGTAACCAGAGTGTCATGTCTGAGGGGATTCAAATATTTGATCCTGGTCTCACAAGAAGAGATCACTTCAGCACACACATGCCAAATGGCCAACACTACTCAACGGAAGGCACTGGTACCTGATGGAGGTCTGATGGCAGGGTGCTTTGCATTCCCAAATGAAATCCGTGGGTAAAACCCACATGAAATTTACCTTTAGAAAAACGAAGCCCAACCAAGCATTTGTTAAACTCGAGAAGAGGGAGATAAGCAGATACCTGCAGGTTTGCTGCCCTCACTTCAATAACCAAAGACCTGGAGGCAAATGGAAAATTGGACAAAATGCAAAGAGAAGTAGTGGAGACAGGTAGGACCACATTGATTTAGTGCCTTCCAGATTTTTTAGACAAAGAGGTAGATGTCAAACTTCATTTTAACAAGCAGCTCAGCTGGTGTCATGTGGTTAATTATTAGTACATCTGGGGGAGACAGAAATTAGGAGAGGAGCTATAAAAAGGATAGGGAGCTAAAGAGTGGGGGAAGAGAGTAAAAGAGAGCAGGGCATGGTGAGACTGGAAGGGCTTTAGGTGGAGTTCCTCCAAGGTCAATGTTGGGACCTCTCATTAAATATTTTAATTTATGTTTTCAGCCCCCCAAAAATGGGGTCCACTCAAAGCTCAGACTGGGAGCAAAGACACTGGGTCACGTTTGATTCATGCCATGTATGAGGAAGAGGACGTGGTGCAGGATCTGTAACTCAGCACTGGTTCTTCAGAGAAAGGTTTGACTTCCTATGAAGTTCTTCACTTGGTATGGCCCAGCTGAGCTCCAGCCTTTAGCTGCTTGAGTAGCAAAAGAGTTTTTTTCTTCTGAGTTTGAGTCACTGTTATAAATTAATCATATCTACTAGTTAAGCCAGTTATTCCTTCTCAAATACAGAGAAGGAAAAAGCCCAAGTGATAATTCAGTGGAATCATTTGTAACGGGAGTGGGAATAATGAATAAATGCCTATTTTTAATTCATTTTCCTGCTGTGCCATCGCTTCATCTTTTCAGGTTTTATTAAGCCAGCCCTCCCATTCTGAATCACCGGGTACGCCTTTCATTGCTCAGTGGGTTTCCAGCTCGACCAGATGTTAACAGCAGAGACAGGAGAGGTCCAAACGCAAAGACTGACTTTGGGGAACAGAATGGGGCTGATTGCTGCCCAGGGTTAATGCAGCTATGGATTTTACTACAGTAAAAGGCTCAGCTCCTCTGGGTTGCACAGAAGAATAGAAAAAAAAAAAGAGAAAAAAAAAAGGTATCTTTCCCAGATTATTGTTTCCCTAGGACTAAGGACTACGTTGCTAAAGCGTGATTAATAATTGAGGTTTAATTCCAGTGGGGGAAGAGGGAAATAATTTACTCCAGGTCAGTGTGCAGCTCCCATCAGATCCCCCATCTCCCTCCAGCAGCGCCTCATCCCCGGCTGCCTCCCCAAGCAGAGCATGGCCGCTGTGTTCCTGTCCCAGCCATGTCCCCTCACCACAGCTCAGCAGCTTACCTGAGACCAGGAGGAATCCCCCTCCGACTTTGTAGGAGCGGGGGCTGACAAAGGGCACTCCACACACCAGCAGCAGCCCTCCCACCAGTCCAGCAGCCACGGCCAACATGATGAATGCCGTCCAGAAGCCTCTGTACACTGCATGGATAAAAAGAGCAAAGTCAAGGGGGAGTAACAAGGGACAGGACAAGAGGAAATGGGCTCAAGTTGTGGCCAGGGCAGTTGAGATGGGATGTGAGGAAGAATTTCTTTGCTGAAAGGGTTCTGAGGCATTGAAAGGGGTTGACCAGGGCAGGGGTGGGGTCCCCCTCCCTGGAGGGATTGAAGATTCACGTAGACACAGTGCTGAGGGACATGGGTTAGTCAGGGACTGGTCAGTGTTGGGTTAACAATTAGACTTGATGAACTTAGAGGTCTTTTCCAATCCAGGCAATGCTGGGATTCTGTCTTCAGGCAGAAACCCTCTGATCATAGAATCATAGAATTGTTTGGGTTGGAAGGGACCTTAAAGCTCATCCAGTCCCAACCCCCCTGCCAGCAGCAGGGACACCTTCCACTAGACCAGCTTGCTCAAAGCCTCATCCAACCTGGCCGAGAACACTTCCAGGGAGGGGACATCCACAACTTCCTTGGGCAACCTGTTCCAGTGTCTGACCAACCTCACAGTGAAGAACTTCTTCCTAATATCTCATCTAAACCTCCCCTCTTTCAGTTTAAACCCATTTCCCCTTGTTCTGTCATTAACTGCCCTTATGAAAAGTCCTTCCCCAACTCCCAATTGCCCTGATTTATCTGGTCCCCTCAGACCACCCCATCTCTCTCTGCCTGTCGTTTTTCAGAAGCTCTAGTTAAGAGAGATTTGAGCTGAGCACAAGCAAGTGGGTAATGCTGAAATAATTCACACTTGAAAGAAAAATGATAGAGAGAAGATGCGTTTTTTACTCATTTGAAACCATTTTGTCAGGAGAGTCACTTAGGGAGAGATAAGTATCTTGAACTCTCCAAAACCACAGAATTCATTTTCATGTTTAACCTCCCGTCACCCATTTCTCTCAGGGAGCCTAAGAGGATGCAGATAAGGCAGAATTATCTCTGGAGCAGGTAATAGCTGGAGGACCCCTCTTCGTGGCCAGCCTCCTGCTTTGTCATCATTTGCATATGAGTATGGACTGGTTTGAAATAAAATGAGCCTTAATGACAGGAGTGTCTGCTCTCTGCGGATCTCCAAATGCTTTGCAGTGGAGTTGGTGCAGCAGAGGAGATCAGTGTTCTCCCTGCCCTCAATGTGGGTGCTGAGACACCCTCATCTCCTCAGGGATCATTGTGGGGTGGGTGCTGGGAGCACCCTGGGGTGCAGAGCCCATCACCAGCACCTTCCCAGGACCCAGCCCAAGGGGCACTTCTGGGAGGCAGCTGAAGAGGGTTTCCTAGTCAGGGTTGACAGGCAGGGACAGATGTCTCCAGGGCCCTTTATTTAGTACAGAAAAAATAGGGTGTTTATCAGTGAGGTCATTCAGAAACTAGACGTCACACCTGCTTCTCCTAAGCAGAAAAAAAAACCCACCACACCTTTGCTTCTCACAACCTGCGACGGGCTCCTCCTTCTACCCTCGACAGGTCCCTCAGATCCATTTTACACTGTGGCACGTTCCCCAAGGCAGGAATCCTGCACAGCACAGCACAGCAAAAGAAACTGCCTGCTTTCCCTCACATGCTCTTACTGACAATTTATATTTTTTTTCAATTAATTCCTCATAAAAAAAAATAAAATTAAAATTATAAAGGTACTGCTAAAGGCTACGGAAAAGGTCAAGATGTTTGTTTGTGCAGTGTGCTTGCCCTGAATCCCTGGAGGCAAGGCAGAGTGATGCACACTATTTAAAGAAATCAATTCATTTCAAAAAAAAAAAAAGATCATTGAATTAATTCTAGCTGCTGCTACCAATTTAGCAAATTAAAATTCCGAACAGCAGCTGATTCATTAAAGAACTCTGAAAATACAGAGAAACATAAATAAATTTAAAAAAAAAAAAAAAAAAGGAACCAGTTGAAAAGAGAGCTCTCCAACTGTCTTGTATTCGGTGTATTAAAAATAAGCCAGTCACTGACGTGGACCTTCTAACAATTTGGTCTTTAACTGATTTTTCCAGTGTTTGTTTATTTTGTCTTGCAACAAATCAACAGCAGAGCTCTCCCAGGAAGCCACCCTCTGGAAACAAGTCAGAGCTGGACTTTCTCCTGCCACAAGCCTGCAGCCCAGGAGAAACTATTTGTATTGCTTGTCCGCAGGGTCTGGATTTGGCCATGGGGCAGAAGACCTTTGCCTCCAGCTCCTCCCAGTTAGCAAGGAGGTGGGAGAAGGGAGAGGATGGATTTACATCCTCCCTTGCTCATAGGAGTAGGCACCCAGCACCCAGTGGGAGGGTGCATGGCTCATGGCCAGGCATGGCTGGCTCTGGAGGAGAGAAGATGTGGGAGAACATCTCAATGGGCTCACAGCTTAGGGTTAGCCAACTAAGCAAGGCCATTTTGTAAGGGAGGCTTCCAAATGTCTTGGTCATGCTTGGCCACATGCAGGAGAACTACAGCGCTGGCACACATCATAAATCATTCTTGGGAAAGGATCTTCTGGGAGAGGAGGAAAGAAACCCACCTGCGGTTGTGTCATAGGAAGGATGAGGGAAAGGTCCAAGAGCAATGGGCATGGGAAAGAGGTAGCCATGCATGCAGAACTTGGGGTGTGCTTGGCTGGCTGAAAAAGAACAACAACAACAAAAAAAACCCTGTTAGGTTTTATTTCCTGCAAAAATCACAGTTACAGTATTCAGATGGCAACGTCCTAACTCTGCAAAACCTTCCAAACCCTCACTGAAGGCAGAAGGCTGGGGAGTAAAGAAGGTAAGGAAATCCTGGTTAGGAAGAAAAAAGGAAAAAGAGAAAAGAGAGAAGAGAGAAGGGAGAAAAGAGAGAAAAGAGAGAAAAAAGAGAAAAGAGAAAAGAGAAAAGAGAAAAGAGAAAAGAGAAAAGAGAAAAGAGAAAAGAGAGAAAAGAGGGAGAGAAGAGGGAGGAAAGGGGAAGGGAAGAGGGAGGGAAGGGGGAGGAAAGAGGGAGGAAAGGGAAAGGGAAAGGGAAAGGGAAAGGGAAAGGGAAAGGGAAAAGGAAAAGGAAAAGGAAAAGGAAAAGGAAAAGGAAAAGGAAAAGGAAAAGGAAAAGGAAAAGGAAAAGGAAAAGGAAAAGGAAAAGGAAAAGGAAAAGGAAAAGGAAAAGGAAAAGGAAAAGGAAAAGGAAAAGGAAAAGGAAAAGGAAAAGGAAAAGGAAAAGGAAAAGGAAAAGGAAAAGGAAAAGGAAAAGGAAAAGGAAAAGGAAAAGGAAAAGGAAAAGGAAAAGGAAAAGGAAAAGGAAAAGGAAAAGGAAAAGGAAAAGGAAAAGGAAAAGGAAAAGGAAAAGGAAAAGGAAAAGGAAAAGGAAAAGGAAAAGGAAAAGGAAAAGGAAAAGGAAAAGGAAAAGGAAAAGGAAAAGGAAAAGGAAAAGGAAAAGGAAAAGGAAAAGGAAAAGGAAAAGGAAAAGGAAAAGGAAAAGGAAAAGGAAAAGGAAAAGGAAAAGGAAAAGGAAAAGGAAAAGGAAAAGGAAAAGGAAAAGGAAAAGGAAAAGGAAAAGGAAAAGGAAAAGGAAAAGGAAAAGGAAAAGGAAAAGGAAAAGGAAAAGGAAAAGGAAAAGGAAAAGGAAAAGGAAAAGGAAAAGGAAAAGGAAAAGGAAAAGGAAAAGGAAAAGGAAAAGGAAAAGGAAAAGGAAAAGGAAAAGGAAAAGGAAAAGGAAAAGGAAAAGGAAAAGGAAAAGGAAAAGGAAAAGGAAAAGGAAAAGGAAAAGGAAAAGGAAAAGGAAAAGGAAAAGGAAAAGGAAAAGGAAAAGGAAAAGGAGAAGGGGAAGGGGAAGGAAAAGGAAAAGGAAAAGGAAAAGGAAAAGGAAAAGGAAAAGGAAAAGGAAAAGGAAAAGGAAAAGGAAAAGGAAAAGGAAAAGGAGGCTGAGAGGGAGGAGATACAACAGGATCTGAGACTGCTCCCTGTCCATCTTCTCAGCTTCATAGCCTGAGTCCGAGGTGAACATAAATCATGAAAGATCATAGAACCATAGAATAGATTGGGTTGGAAAAGACCTCCAAGATCATCAAGTCCAACCCCTGATCCAACTCCAATTACTATATCATGGCACTAAGGGCCACGTCCAATCTCTTTTTAAAAACCTCCAGGGATGGTGAATCCACCACCTCTCTGGGCAGGCCGTTCCAGTGCCTGATTACCCTCTCTGTAAAGAATTTCTTCCTAACATCTAACCTAAACCTCCCCTGGCAGAGCTTGAGCCCATGCCCCCTTGTCCTATTGTTGGTTGCCTGGGAGAAGAGACCAACCCCCACCTGGCTATAACCTCCCTTCAGGTAGTTGAAGAGAGTGATGAGGTCACCTCTAAGCCTTCTCTTCTCCAGCCTAAACAACCCCAGCTCCCTCAGCCTCCCAATGGAGGCTCAGATGGAGCAACTGAAACCAGCGTCACTATTCCCATTGCTGTTTGCCTCCAGAAAATGTGTCAGGCCCCCAGGAAGGGGCAAAGATATTTGGGTACCGGAACAAACCACTTTACAAGCTCTCCAGTTTGTGAGAAGGGAAAGCACAATTAAAATGGAAGTGCCCCATCAATATTAATACCACTGAGGCTTATCATGATTAACGGTAATAGAATGAATGTTAAATGAATTAATTAATGGTTGGCCACTTATTTAAATATGTTCCCCAGCTCAAAGGAACACTTTATAATAGGTGGACATTAGTTCATGCTAAATTGACTATGGAATACCTATTGAATTAATTATTACATCCATGAGAGCAGCAAATTAATTTGCCATGATCAATCCTATTATAATAAATACCTAAAGAAGTAGTACAAATTTGCCAGTTATCACAAAGAGTCATTTTACTTCAGGTAACATTATATGATATCATGTATTTCCATTTAATGTCATTAGATAGAAAACTCCCTCTCTCAAGACTGTCCTTTTTTTATCAAAAAATTCCTGTATGACAAGTCTCAAGGTGTTGAGTTGAACAGTGGCAACAACTGTTCCTGCAAGATTTTACAAGAAACACAGGTTGGGGATTTGGGGACAGTAAAGTCATCTGAAATTTTAATGACTGCAGAGTAAAATTATTATGGGAACTTGCATTATTTTCAGCCAAACACCCTCCGAGGTGATCACACTGCTCCACTGGCATGTAAGCATCTTTGAGCAACCACAGGGTCAAGGCTTTTGCAGTGTTTAAAACTTATTTTAAATATTTTTTTTAATCCCCAGCACTTCTCTCAGGCTGTGACATCCCAGGGAAAGGCCGTTCTCCAACACGGGATGTGCTGCTTGCTGGCTCAGCCACTGGTGGGGCTGATGCCAGGCATGTTGTGGGGTGGTGTCACTCCTTTGCTCTTTCTGGGGGAAGCACCCAGTTCACTGGGCCAAGACCCTACACTTCACTCATGGGCCACCAGTCAGCACCAACTGGTCTCTCAGAATGGGTTTCACCTTCTCCTTTAATTTTTTTTGAAGAGTAAATATGCTTTCAGAAAAAGAATTATTTTGCATCCATCTCTTGTTTATTCACACGTGTAACTTCAATGACCTTTAGCAAAACAAAACTTAAAATAAAGGTCTTGTATGCTTAAGAGTGGTTACAGCTCTCCATGGTCCACCACCGCCCACTGCTAGAGGTCCTGAGCACCCAAGGAGACCACACATGTGTGCATCCAATCTTCCCTGTGCTGAAACCAGTGGGAGGAAGGAACACTTGATTGGCTGAAAAAAGGGAAAAAAAGAGCCAGGAAAAGCACGGGCTCATATTTAGCAGATCTTAGTGGAACACAAACATCAAGAGGTATGGGGGGAAAGTTGTTCTTGCTGGTGGAAGCCACCACTCCATAAAACTTGGTAGGTGATATTTTAAATGGCATCAAGAGGTTTCTATGAACAATGAACCCTCTGAGAGCAAAATCCAAGTCGAAAGAAGAGCACAGGAGGAGTGAGCCAAGTTTGCTTTTGACAGAGAGATGATGAGAATGGGGAAAAAAAGAAACAAAGACAACTGTCTCCTTATCCCTGGAACCTCTTGTTGTGCTTGTTTGCAATTCAATCTGTGAATGAATACTGTGCATGTGGTACGGTGGCATCATACTCACTGTACCAGAAGGTCCAGATGCTCTCTGAGTGGCCCTCGCCAAAGAACCAGCACCGCCAGAAGAAACCCTCATGATGGAAAGTGAGGATCTCCTTCCTGACCTCTGTTGGTGTTTCAGCCTGTGGAGGAATAAAAGGTCAAGCTGAAACAGGGATGATCATGGTGGAAAGTGTGTATTTTTTGCTTAAACAGTTGTTGCTTTTATTTTTTTATTGGGGTTTTCATTTACTGTTGTTGTTTGAGTTGGTTTTGGAGGAGTTGGGGAACACAGAGGCAGATGTTGTCCTTGACTTTCTTTTGTATCAAAGCTACCAAATGTTCTGATAACAAATCGTCCTGCAGACCTTCACAAAATAGTTTCTTCTTTCTCTAATATCTTTAAATTACCGATTGCCAGAGCTGGACAGGTGTGTCAAGGAGCAGAACATTCTGGGTGTGTACTACTTCTTACTTTCCTTAAGTAAATCTTATTGCTGTTGTAACCAGTAGGAAGCAGGTTGATTACCAGGTCAGTAATTTTAGAGGTGACCCAATGCAACAGTTCAAATGTCCTTGCTGTTCTGCAGGATCCAGGTAAGGTCTGGCTTAACTCCAGAAGATGGTCCAACATTAACACTCCCAGTGAGCCTCTTCCAATCACTAACCCAAAGGTTTCTTTCTTTCTCTCCCTTTGCTGAGCCCAGTAGAAGTTGTGCTGAACTTGTGAGGGACAAATTACTCTACCCACACCAGTCTTCTCATAGACCAGGATAGGGACATTACCAAATATTCCTTTTTAGGTGAGCCTACTTCAACCATCAAACCAGACATGCAAGCATGAGTTTTAGGTCTTTCCAGAAGGAAGGTTGTTGCAAAGTTGGGTCATGGACTATTTACTGAAAAAAAACTTATTAAAACTATAGTCAGGATCAAATTTGCCTTTATCACATATAATTTGATAAAGGAAACATGGCTGTTATAAAATTATATGTTGTGGAGGGTGGAGAAACTCCATACAGGCTTGGACCCTGTGAAGTGGAGAAAAGAGATGGGACTCAATGGGGAGATGATAGAAGATACTTCCCTCACCTCAAGGTTTTTATGCATCAAGTTCTGACCACTCCCAGAGCTCTGACCTGAGTCTCCTTTGACTTTCAGGATAAAATACCTATTATGACAATGGTAACATGCAGCCCTCAAAGTTCATCAGCTGGATGGCTGCTGACTTAATGTATCTACGGCACATTTAATCGCTGTTTGGCACACCCTTGAGACCATCCTTATCTGTAAGGGACAGGGTTTGCCAGTTTAAGAAAAGGCAGAGAATGTAAAAACACAGCAGCCTGTTGTACCCAACTGGTAAGTGAAATAAAAATCTTTTTAAGAGTGTTTGAAACACAAATAAAATAGCTCAGAGGAGAGAGTAAGAGCAGTTCCTATTTCTGCCTGGGGCTTTTGGAGTCGCCTTGCCTTAGTGCCAGGCACAGGAACACTTGGCCAAGAGCATATCTGAAATGGTTGAGATGCTTATTCATGTCATGCACTGCAACGTCTCTGGTCTCTCCACTTTAAAAGACAACAGCGCAAACAAAAACCTGAAACAATTAACATTGTCATTTCCCAAGTGCACAAAAACTAAGCGGCTCTCCTCCATCCGTGACTCTCTGCAATCTCCAGGGCTTTACTGTGCAGCTTGAAACATCGAAGACAATGTCTTCTGCCAGGTAGAACAGAAATCATTTTCTATCATAACTTATTATTTATTTTTTTTCCCAATAGAGAAAGTCATTTGGAAACAACGACTCAAGCGAAGAGTGTCCTACATTTGATGATGAAATTCTGAAAGGAAAGGAAATATTTCTTGCTGGCATCATGATGCTTACCCAGCATGACTCACCACAGCAGAAAAAAATTCAAACCTAATTGGATTGAACATTGAAGTAACAAAAAGTCTGCACACAACGAGGATCTTCCTGGCATGTTGTCATTGAAACTACACATTGATCGGCACAAAAACATTTTCGAAGGGTGGGTGGCTCAAGGAACTGATCTGGTTGTTATTTCATTGAAGAGTTAGACAATAAGAAGTGCAGCTAAAAATCAAACTTTCATAAGTGATACCAGAAATTAGCACTAAAATACCAAATCGTCCTTCAAAAATTACATTTCTTGATAATTAAAATCCTATAGTAATTTTAATTTTAATTTTTTTTTTTTAAATCCTATCGTGATCTTAATTTTTAAAAATTAATCTTAATGTTTAAAACAAGAAGGCCTCTTCTTGTTAGACAGGCAGGAATTCTTCTCTACACTGTTCTGCATCTGATGTTCACTTTTGTTCTCTGTCTGTGCTGTAGTCTTCTAACTTCAGAAGGAAATGATTGCCAAGTCCCACTCTTTAAAATATGAACTATTTTTAAGAAACTACAGAGAGAGAAATCTTTTAATGGTAAATATCAGGAGATATATATATATATATATTTTTTTTTTAGAGGCAAATGCTGTCAACAAGTAAAGCTCTTATTTTTCCACCTTTCATTCCCTAATATTTGTATCTGCCAGATTACAGAGGTGCTGCCTTAATGTTTCCTAGTCACACTTTATTTCAACCAAAATGCCAGATCCTATGGAAAAGCTGGTTTGGATTTTAAACTTCGCTCAGGTCAATGCTTTACATTAGCAGATCACTTTCAATGAGCATAAATAAATCATCAATATTATCACAGATTAAAAACTGCCAGCACTCATATTAAAAGTATTTGTGTTGCCTTTAGAGAAAATTATTTAAGTTAAGCAAGATTTCAGAGTTTACCTCCCAGCTCTGCAGGGTGTTATTCCCACGTTGGAAGACGCCGCAGGTCTCCGTAGCCAGAAGCCAATAATCCGTCCCAAAAGCGATGAGAAAGAGCAAGACGCCGGTGCCACCGAAGATCCCGGCGGCCAGAGAGGCTGCTCCAGCCTTCATGGGGCAGCAGGTAGAGTTGGAAGTCAAAAAAAAGAAGAAAAACACTGAAGTTTCCAGAGTCACTAGAAGAAGGGGAAGGAGAGAAGTGCTATTTTTGGACAGGGATAATAATCTTCCCCTGGCTGGTGTGAGTTTCAGTGGGTGGTGGGAACAGGACTAATAAAAGCAGATGACCTGGCGTAACCGAACAGCTGTGGCATTAAGGAACATGACAAATAGTTATTGAGACAGAGCGGGAAGATTTCCAACTCAACACATGGCTGTTCATTTCAGAAGAGCGGCGCAGGGATCCCTGAGCCTCAGTAGAGTTGCCCAGGACACTGGAGAGTTTTTAAAACCCCATTTGTGCATGAGATTAGCAGAGAGGTTGTGCATGGCTTGAGCAGATCTGAACACAATGATCTTTACCAGGTTGTGGAGCCCACAGTTTCCACAGCCGTTGCTGTGAGATACCTTCAGCCATGTCCTCGCCAGTGCAGTATAGAAGTGGCTCTTCTGGAATCACAGAATCAGAGACTGTCAGGGACTGGAAGGGACCTCGAAAGATCATCCAGTCCAATCCCTCTGCCAGAGCAGGAACCTAAATGAGATCACACAGGAAGGTGTCCAGGTGGGTCTTGAATGTCTCCAGAGAAGGAGACTCCACCCCCTCCCTGGGCAGCCTGTCCCAGGGCTCTGTCACCCTCACTGGAAAGAAGTTTCTTCTCAAGTTGAAGCAGAACCTCCTGTGTTCCAGCTCACAGCCATTGCCCCTTGTCCTACCATTGGGCATCACTGAGAAGAGCCTGGCTCCATCCTCCTGACATTCACCCTTTACATATTGATAAACATTAATGAGGTCACCCCTCAGTCTCCTCTTCTCCAAGCTAAAGAGCCCCAGCTCCCTCAGCCTTTCCTCAGCAGGGAGATGCTCCACTCCATCATCTTGGTGGCTCTGTGCTGGACTCTCTCCAGCAGTTCCCCGTCCTAATAGAATAGAATAGGAATAGACAACTCCTTCAGCTCCTGCTTCCTCTGAGCAAAACACTCATGCAGCTTTCACACAAAGTAACCTCAGAGATCCAAACAATAACTCTAAAACATTGGTGATATCTCTTCAATACCTTGGTGTTCTCAGAAGTGATGCCATCAACCCGTGCAAACATGTTTCAACCAGGCAGGTCCACATCTAGCTAGACAAGGAGCATTAAAATCAGGTGTATGCACCAATATACCTCGAGCACCTTGCTAAGCAGTTGTAGGAAGATGTTCTCTCTCCTGCCACAGAAGAGTGGACTATACAACATCCACACCCCTCCCACCGCCTGAACCTCCTCTGGTAGGATCGTCTCATGGGGACGAGGATATTCCTGCATGGAATTTCATTGCCATTTGGTTCCTAGTGTTTTTGTCTTCTGCTGGAGCATCTGCTGTAGATCAGTGCCAGGAACAGGATGCCAGACAAGGAAAATTATGATTTCTGTAGGGCAATAACTATATTCCTGTGACATGCCAGGAGGCTGGGGGGGGAAATTTCAGTTACAGTGAAAATTCAAGTTCTGATTTTCTCACCTTAGCCCAAGTCATGACCTATTCTAAAAAGGGGGTTAGATGAAGATATTGACTTCCTTATTCTATGAGATTTTCTGTTGCCAAATTAATTACCAAATCAATTTAATAGTTAAAATTAACTGTGGACATATGTCTATCTCAGAGAAACTGCACATTGGTTACGGAAACTGAAGAGGGTTGGGTACAATTTTGACTAGACTTCTAGCCAACTGTTGAGGCACATGGACTGCTGAATATGCTCACTCCTCTTCTATGAGCACAATAGACCTTAAATTATATTTTTTTTTTCTATCCTCTGTATTGTTCTTTCTTAAATATTGCAGGGATAGCTTTTAAATAATACATTAGACCTCCTTTCCTCACAGTCACTGTGGCAGAGCTGCTGTTTGTTCAACCTGACCATGAGCACGAGACATCCCATAGGATCCAGGAAAGAGGTCCCTGCCCAAAGGAAAGGTGGGCCAGGTTGCAGAATTACCATCTTACAAGGTCAAAACTTAACCATAGTCCCCACAGCCCCATTAATTAGAGCTAGAGTGGGACAAGGAGGGCAGAAGATATTGCACCTGGCATGGTGGGGCAGGCAGTGGGTGAGCAAGGCAACAGGGAGCTGCAGGACAGGGCCAGCACGTTGTCTCAAAGGTTAGGTTTACATCTTGGTTGGCCACTAAAATAGTAGAATACCTTCTGATGTTCGTATAACAGGATGAAAGTCCTCACAGCAGAGCCAAACGCTGCTCTCAGCAGGTAGAAACATCATTGTGTGGCCTTCAGACAGGGAGCAGCGGATGCACATCTGATGGGAGAGCTGCAGTACAAAGGCCATTTTCAGGGAAGTGAAAATATAGATCATGTCTCTGGCCTGCTTACCCATCCCTTTTCTTCCAAGCAAACTATTTAGCCAACCAAGAGAGAGGAGAAACCATCATATCAACTCTTTTCCCATATTTTTGAACCACAATACCACACCCATCTCGCAGTCGCTTGGTTACTTCGCAGGCAACTATTGTTGTGATGAGATGACCTCTTTGTATTGAGCATCAAATGGTTGATTAAATACAAAGCCAAATATATCTGTCACTTAATTAATCTTCAATAAGTGTCATTTCAATCCTGTGCCATTTAACTAACATGTAACCCTGCTTAAACCTGGCTGAAGTGACAAGGAAAAGCAGTTGCTGTCTAATCTTCTGATCTATAACTCAAAGCTGAACACAACCGATGGGGAAGGGTTGGTGATGCTTGAAGGAGCACGATGAAGATCAGGGTTTGCAAACCAGAAGTGAGGACATTTTTTTTTTTTTTTTGCAGATCACATTGCAATTGCATAAAATTAAAATGCAAAGTGGGCATTTGTGTATTTTTAACAAGGGATTAACACACACTTCCACATTTGTGTGTGTTTTTGGTCAGCCGTATTTGGCATCGCTGTATTTATGCTGATGTGGATTCACAAGTTGGTGCTGTTTGCCATTTGGAAGGTGTCCTCAGCAATTCTTAGTCCCATTGGCAGAAAAACCCCTGCATGGCTGTGGCAGAGCAGTGCTGGTGCCCAGCCTTGGCTCCTCGTGGGCTGTTATGTGCCCACTCAAATATTTTCCAAATTCTTTGGCTGTGGAATAGGAATTGAGTTTGGAAGGTCAAAACATCTCCACATGCAATGAGCTTTCCCTTCTCCTTGGCTCACCATCACGCACATGCTCATCACCATTGGGATCTGAAAAATTCCTGGACATCATGGATAAGGAGTCCACACCTGGGGAACCAGCAGCTGCAGGGACAGGGCAGCTGCTCCAGTAGCACGTGGTGGGAGCACCCAGGCTTGCTGGGGACCACAAACACATGTGATGGGGCTACAGCCCACTTAGGTTTCCTTCCATTCAGCTTGATTATTTTTTTCTTAATTAGACATCAACCCCATTGCTTCCAACCAGCCCAGAAGGTGCTGACTCCTCACACCAGCAGGTTGTGGGGCCAACCAGAGGAGCAAACACCTTCAGCCCTGCTCAACCAGGGCTCATCTAACCTCTACAACACCCTCGCTTCTCTATTTCCCTGTTACTCAGAAAATTAGAGAAAATTAAAATTCTTATAATAGGAAATATTTTTTTAATAAGACTTTTTAGTCTTACAAACTAGACTAATAGAAAAAAATAGTTCCTTTCCTCTTCAATATAAATGTCTTTATTAAATATAAGATTCCAACCCATTCTGGCTTCAAAGGGTAAATTAGCTTTCTGGTTTCCTTTTGTACAAGCATTTTGTTCATATAGATTTTATACAATGCAATGGACAGCCTTGTTAATAGACAGGACACACGTGTACTAGAAGAAAAGAAAGGGGAAAAAAGAAAGAAGAAATGGCAAGAAAGCCACCAATAAATCATTCCAGCCCCTTTCCCTTCCTCTGCAGTTAGAAAGGACTAGAGATTTTATGATGAATTAATCAGAAAATGTGGATTTTAAAACCTGAATCAGTTTCCAGGAAGGGTTAGGGTGAGTGAGTACAGCTGGAGAAATTTTAAGAAAGGTGTTTCTTACCTTTGAATTTTTCATTTCACATTTTCAAACAAAAAGTTCTAATCTGTAGGTTAAAACAACTTTTGGAGATCTACCAAAGAATGAAAGAAATTATTAAATATCTAAATTGATGCCAAAATTTTAATAAAATATTTTTTGAAAATTATAATTGGCTCACAAATATTTTTTCACCTTATTGTTTCCTGGGCTGGGTTGTGACATTGTCTTTGCCTCTGAGCTCTGTGTGGAAATGCTGTAGAGAGTATTGGGAGTCAGACCACAAAAAAAAACCCCAAAACCACAAAAACTACAAACAAGTAACATCCCACCACAATTTCTAAGCCTATAGACACTGGTAACGTTGATGGATGACCTTCGTAGCTTGTGTTGGGAACTCTGGTGGGCTACACCAAAGCAAGGTATTACCTGACCATCAGCATGATCTGAGCAGTGGTCAGACACAAATACCATTTAATTACCAAGGACAATTACCCTTCCTCACCTCTTCTGCCATCAGCAGGTAGTTGCCTTCAGGTTCCTCTTCTCCAGAGAGATCCAATGAGGGTGCCACCATGAACAACACTAAGGCCTAGATGTTAGGAAAGATAGGTCATGTTCTGGGCATTTTAGTGACTTTTGTTTCCTAATTGGCCCTGATTATGTTTTTGCCCTTAAGATTCTAAACTGCAATTGTGAATCTCCAAAACAGATGTTTTGGAGGTTCACAATTTGGACTCTTCCAAGGAGATGAGGCTAGTCAGCTCTGATTTTTCACAGAATCAGTGTTTTATCTTTTGATTGGCCAAAGACTCCATCAGCATGGTCTGAGTTACCATTATTTTTTGTGTTTTATCATAGAATCATAGAATCATAGAATCATAGAATGGTTTAGGTTGGAAGGGACCTTAAAGTTCATCCAGTTCCAAACCC